AGGAGCAGGAAGGCTGACAAGGGTCTAGGCCCGAAACGTCAGCCTTCCTGCTCCTATGATGCTGCTTGGCCTGCTGTGTTCATCCAGCTCTGCACCTTGTTGCCTCCATATCTGGTATCTGCCTTGTGAACCTTCTTTAGACCGCCTCCAATGCCAGCATATCTTTCCTTAAATAAGGGCCTAAAACTGTTCACAATATTACAGCTGTGGTCCAACTAGTTGCATTGTACAGTTTCAGCACTCCCTATTCCCTTTGAAATTAACACCAATATTCAATTTGCCTTCGCCATTAAGCACTGAAGTTCGATGCTCGCTTTTCGTGATTCGTGGACGAGGACTCACAAATCTCTCTGTTCTGTAGCTTTCTGCAGTGTTCATATAAACGATATCCAGCTCCTCTATTCTTCCCGCCAAAATTCATAACCTCACATTTCCCCACATTATATTCCATCTGTCAAGCTTTGGCCCACTCACCTAATCTATCCATATCCCGCAGCAGACTCTAAGGCAAATGGCTTGCTCCTACTTCTAATTTTTAAATAACTTCAAGTGACTTTACAGAGCGACGGACCAGTAACATGTGCGTTTGGCGTCAAATGGACTCCGGACGGTTAAAGTTTAGGCCCGCTTGCTGATCCTGGGATCTGGTAACAAATACCTGAAGTTCGCTGAATCTCTAGCGGTAAGACACCTCCTTCCCTGTCAGTTACTCACCTTCCTCTGCAGCTCCCACACGCTGATGTAGTTCTTGCCGAGCTGCGCTCCCAGGAGGTACTCGCCAGCGAGAGTACACAGGCCACGGGCCGAGGTATTGCCGCCACGATAGGTGGTGAGCGAGGTCCCCGAGCGCGGCTCCCAGACGTTGCAGTTCCATAGAGAACCTCCGGCATCGCAGCTCAGCACTACCTCCAGCACCGACGCCGCCATCTTATCAGCTTCCCACAATTCCTATCGCCAAGGAGCAACGAGGCAAGAGAGGCCGAGGTATCACCATGGCAACGATTGAGCTGGGCCGGAACTAGAATCAGTCAGACTCAAACACACTTCAAATTGAACATAAAGCACAACTTGTTCTTAAATGAAGAAACAGAAACTGAAGAACAAATGCTCTGTACAAAAATGATCGAGAAAGTAGAATGCAAAATGGCAACTGACAGCAGGATAATAATCAGCGGCACAATCGATCAAAATTAGCTTTATGAACTGCTAACCTTTGAAAAGGTGAGATCGAAAACGCAGATGAATTTAAAAGTTTTAAGCGGCAAAGATGGTTTTGGAATATTCCGTTAAATGCACTCCAAACCAGAATCGTTACGGTTCAGGAGCAGGCCGTTCAGCCCATCCAAATAAGCAGTATAACATATTTATAATTATATCATCCTTTCACTACATATTATTTCATTGAATGCCTCTATTGAACTCGCCACCACACCACCAGGCGGTGTACATGGAAGTGTTTCTTCTCATATTTACTTCTTTAAAGTTTTGGGAAAGATCTGTAGCTTGGGCTGTGGATGAAGTTGTTGACTTGCTGACTGAGCTGGCTTGTTTTTGTTCAGATGTTTTGTCACCATGCTAGGTGACATCATCAGTGGAGCCTCCTATGGAGCGACGTTATTCTACTCCGCTTGGATTTTATGCTGTCTGGTTCATTATGGGGAGTACTGCCATTTCCGGTTTTGATCCATATGGGTTGGTATATGGGGTCCAATTCTATATGTTTGTTGATTGAAGTATGGGTGGAGAATCATGACTCTAGGAATTCCTGTGCGTGTCTATGTTTGGCTTGGGCTACTATAGTTACCTTGTACCTTCATTGTCTGAATGTCTCAATTTAACAGGGACAAGGTACCCATAGTGGCCAAAGCCAAACATAGGAGCCACTGGTAGGAGAGACTAGGACCCAAGAGCACAACCTGACAGTGAAAGGACAACCCTTTAGAACTGAAACGAGGAGGAATTTCTTCAGGCAGAGAGTGGTGAATCTATGGAAGGCTGTGGAGACTAGGTTATTGTCTTTCCGCACTGTGATAGTTCATGATTAGTGAGGGGTCAAAGGGTTATGGTGAGAAGGCAGGAGAATGGGGTTGAGAAACATATCAGCCATGATTGAATGACAGAGCAAACACGATGGTCTAATTCCGCTCTTTTATCTTATGGTTTAACTGAGGGTCACAATACCTTAGTGAGGGGAAGGGGTTGAGAAAGACAGTCCTACATGGTAACCATTGTTGATGCAGAAACTGAACCCATGCTGTTGGCATCACTCTGCATTACAAACTTCCATCCAGGGCCCTAAATAGTCCTTCCAGTTGAGACAGAGCTTCACCTATATCTCCTCCAACTGGTAATCCCAATGTGGTCTTCTCTACACCGGTGAGACCAAACATAGACTAGGTGACCATTTCTCCAAGCAACTTCACCTAGCCCAAAATGGCCAGCCTAACCTTCCGGTCACCACCCATTTCAACACCCCCACCCAACATGTCCATCCTCAGCCTCCTCCAATGTCTCAGTGAATCAGATTGCAAATTTGCAGAACAACACCTACAGCCCAGAGGACTTAACATTGAGTTCTCTAATTTCAAATAACCTTCCTACCTACTCTCCGGCTCCCTTCCATCCCACCTACTGACCCTCCCTTCCAGCTACCAGCCAGATTCATCCTTCCCATCAACCAACCAAGTCGTACCTACTACGGTGCCCACCTATCACCACCATTCTACTAACTTCCACCCCCCCACTTTATCTGCAGTCCCCACTACCCCCATAACCAGTTCTGAAGAAGGGTAATACCCGAAACATTGACTGCTCCTTTCCTCCAGATGCAGCCTGCCCTGCTGTGTTCTTCCAGCCTCCTGTTTGTCTAAGTGAACCCTATACCTGAGCAGTATAGTTGATTCTTAACTACAATCTGGGCAATAAATGCTGACCTAGCTATGACATCCTACATCCCATGAACAAATTTGTAAAAAGTCTGTCCAGTGCATTTTTTGCTGTCCTATATGATGATTCCATATCTATCTATCCATATCTATCTATATGATATCTATATCTATAATTCTTAAAAACTATTTATAACTAGATATATTTACAACTAGAAAGCAAAACATAGTTTTCAGTACTTAATTCTTGGCAATAAACCCTATTTTTTGTTTCTGCTATATGGTAATTGTGGTCATTGAATTGTTATTCTGCAGGAGGAGGCTATTCAGCCCATTGTGTCTGCTCTGGCTCTCTGGGCATTTTAACTTAATACCAATCTCCTGCCTTTTCCTTCTAATCTGAGTATTGTTTCTATATAAGTAATTATCTGATGCCCTCTTAGGATAAGCTCCAACACATAATCATGAATTTGTATCAGCAATACAAGTAATCCTTATCGAAAGAAACTATTTAGGTTGCAGCACTGAAAACATTAGCTCAATTTCAAACATAGTTGCACATTACCAATCCAGTTGCCAACAATTAATGAACAAGCAATTCTTCATGTACGAGCCTCAATAAGTATTTGATTTTGGAAGGTATCACAACCACAAGCTGAATCCTGTCATTGTTAAACATCATACACATTTACTTCCAGCACTATTCATGGAACTGTTCCATCTTCAGTTCACTGTCAACTCTGACCCTCTTGAAGTCAACAATCTCCTGGGAAAAACGCAAAAAGAAACAGGATAGTTTATGGAAAAAAAAAATCCATTCTGATCCCCAAAAGGCTTTCAATCAAACACCGCAAGACCATGGTGACTACTAATACATTTTCCTGTTTACCCATTTACTATTGATTACTTAAGATGGTCTCCATAAGCTATAGCTCTCTCGCTGTCATCCTGACAAAAGACGTAATCACTTAGTTTTGACTGCAAAAGAATCCAAATAAAAGACCAACCGTGAGCCTTAATTTGAACTGCAATGTTGGAGAAAGGAACAGTGCTATGCAGAATGTAGAAGATATAATACATGATGCCTTTTCAGAAAGTTGGATTCAATATAAACCGGGGAATTGTACATTTAGCTACTGACTGACCACCAGGGGTCCCCAACTATAAGTCCATCTGATCTTGTTTGACACTTGCTGTTAACCCAGTTATATGCTCTACAAGAATTTTGTTTTTTATAAGTTATTAGTTAGTAATGACACCCTTTCAGAATTCCTGATGGACTCAATGGCCTTTACTCTCACTGGATGCTCTTGAATTGATTTCTTTGTAAATCATGCTATTTTTACAGAATCTTTACAATGTTATATTTCTCTGGAAAGCTCCCAATCCAGATGCTGTCACTCAGTGCTTCAGTTGAAGTTTAATTGTTTTCTTTTATGTTCAGTAGTTAAATTAACCCCTTCTGACCTTTTGACCTAATAATCTTCCTGGTCTCCCTATTTGAATGATGTGCTTAAGTTGTAAACATAACCTCCATCTGACAGCCTGCTGAGTGTATCATCAATAATCGGTCACCATAATTTTCTTCTAGTAGCAATTAAACAATTGCTGGTGATCAGAGCACATTTTATATGACACATATGATTTATTTTGATGGCTGTTCTAAACTATTAGATATATTTCATCAAAAGGATGCAGCTGTTGTGCACTGACCTAGGAATTCACATAAGTCAATATTAAGATATGATTAAATTTAGTCAGTAATTTTTGCAAAGGTTTAGTGACTACAAAGAAGCGCAAGCCAAAAGGACTGAAAACTGTTTAACCATTTCATGATATTAAAAAAACTTCCAATAAAAATACACTGCTGGTATTAAAGAAATAAAGGAGTTTACATCAGTATAATAACAAGTTTGTAGAGAGCAGAGAGCAAAAGATTGAGCACCGTTTTGGTCCCCTTGATTTCACAGGTCTTAACATCGCAAACAAAATCAACATTTTAATCAATCTGTTTTTATCAGCAGGACATTTTTTTGGTACTAATCTCACCTTCTCTGTTTCTAAAGTCATGAGTCATCCACCATTAACCTTTGAATACTATAATATAATGGTCTCAGGCCTATGCATCTGAGGAATGAAGGCAGACCAGTATTTTAAAAGGACCCACCCCTCCGTAACTAAGTAGTTGCACAGAGGAAGAATGTTTACAGCTATCACATTAACGAGTTGAGGGCGAAGCTGTATATTGCACAAAGTTTTCTCCAAGGCTTATCAGTTTTGAATTAAAAAACACACTGTGCTTCATTTTTTTTCCTTTATAAAACCATTCTTGCTCCAAATTTCACTCTTGTTCTTCAGCTTTTCCTCTACTTGCAGTTACATGTTATTCCTGATGTAAGCAAATATCTAAACTGATTAAATTTAAACTATTTTCTTGTCCTTCCCCAGTTGCTTTGTATACCTATAAGAAAATGCACTCTGATAACGAAGGAAAGACACAAGATGATCCTCACCTGTATAATATTAGAAGGGCACTATAGCTCACAGATCTCCTATAGGTGGGTGGGGGTAGGGCAGGAGAAGAAACTCCTGCTCTGTCACTATCATAATACTCATGCTGTAACTATTTACATGGACATAAAACATTCACCTATGTGCTCTGCAATCAGTAGTCTGCTGATGCCTATGCTATTGACTCTCACGATTGTTGCTGTCGAGGTGCTGTGATGGGGAAGAGACTATTATTCACCTCCTTGTGGAATGCGCCTTTGTAAAGAAGGTATGGAGAGAGATGCAATCGTTTTTGTTGACTTTTATTCCAAGCGGCTCCATGAGGCAGGATTCTAGTTCTACAGGCTCTTCCCAGGGATGCAAACTTAGAAAAACATCACTGCCCATGCAGGACCATCAACTTAGTCTTCTTTAGCCTATCCGAAACTCGTTGGTCTTCTAGTGCAAGGGGTTGACCTCAACCAAGTGTTGCCTACTGGCATATTCCAAGAGCCAGACCTACCCTGAAGGTTACATTAAAGCTTGGGGCAAACGCACAGAGGCGCAATGGGGAAAAGTTGTTGTCTAATGCCTTTCAGCTATAATTCAACAAGGGGCTGGAAACTATGAATTCTTCACGCTATGTTCCTTACCAAGAATGTACATTGTATGTCAAAAATACTGAAAATTTATTTCAGCATCTCAGAGTAAAACACGTTATAGCCCTCTAGCGGTGCATTTGATGATGTGCCTAACCCTGGACTGGGAGGCCTGGGTCCACGTCCCACCTGCTCCAGAGGTGTATAATAACATCTCTGAATAGGTTGATTAGAAAAAAGTGGTTTT